GAACGTTTATATAGACATATCCGCATTTATTTCACGTACAACACAGGTAACAAGGTAATATTTTAAAGGAAATTTAAAACTCCCTTTTTCCAGAAGAATTGTCTTGAAGTGTCTAGAAGTTTATAATAATAATAACTGTTAACTTGTACACTTAAATTTATCATACGATTATTGTAATTAAACATAGATATTTATGAAACATTCGTTACACAAATACTAGACATTAAGTAAAACTATTTTTACGGGTATATTTAAATGATTTTCCTTTTTTAATTGCCGACGTTTCGGGTGGTTTACAGCACTTAACAGATTTTACTTGAGGGAGCGGATCTAAGTTGGCGATTTAATTTACAGAATGCACACCACTATTTTTTAAGAGACCATAGTTAATAATTTAAATTGGGGGATAAGTCGCTCGCGTCCGTAAGGGGGATAAGTCGCTCGCGTCCGTAGGCTTTGACCACCTGTTCCTAGGCCCACCCTACACGTGTCCCCCGGGTGGTGCTAAATGAGCGACAAGCCGATACCACAGACTCGGCTCCACGCCGTGGTAGCTGCGTTAAATATACCACCCCATTTCGCTCCATGAGGAGTCGAATTAAAGAAATGGCCCCGAGTTCCCGGCACCCCTTTAGTGGGGCAGGGGTGCGAAGAATCTCCGGGAGGAAAACCGGCGACGAGGTTCGCCACCCGTCACGTTCTGTCTCCCGGAGAGGCGAAAAGTGGATAAAATGCATGAAGTATGCGATATGATGTATGATAGAGGAATAGATGTGTTATGCGTAAATGAGACGAAAAGAAAGGGGAAGGATGTCACTTCACATGGCATGTATACCGCATACTGGTCTGGTGTAGACGAGATCGAGCGGGCCCAGGCAACCAAATGCCAGGGAGTAGGTATCATCCTTTCAGAAAGAATGGGCCAATGTGTGAAAGAGTATGAATGTGTAAGCCCAAGACTGCTATGGATACGTAAGTGGGCTTAAAGAAGTTGTTTGTGTTAGGGGTCTACGCCCCAGACATGTTTAAGCCCACTTATACCCGAGAGCAGTTTTGGGAAATGGTAAGGATGGTGTTAATGAAGTGTAGGGAAATGAAAATATTATTATGCTAGGAGATTTTAATGGAAGGGTTGAGGTCAGGAGGCTTGGTTATGAAAGGATATTGGGAACGTTTGGTGATGAAAGTATAAATGAGAATAGTGAAAGTCTCTTCACCGTATGTATGGAAAAGAATCTTTTGTGACGAACACTTGCTTTCGCCACAAGATGATTCACATGTATACTTGGGAAAGAGGTGACGATAGAAGCATGATAGATTTCATAATTGTGGATGAAAGATTGAGGGGCGCAGTGGTAGATACGAGAGTTTACCGGGGTTCTAACGTAGGAACGGATCATTATTTAGTTTTATGCCGAATTAACGGTCTATTCAGGCGTTGGCGCCATCGATCGTCTGTGTCTACCACTGCGTTACAGCGTATTAGAACAGAAAGGTTACAAGATGAAAGTGACAAAAACAAGTTCAAATGTAGACTGAAAAAAAAATATAAGTGGTTTGGATGAATTATGTATGAAGGAGTTAGACTTGGAGAATATATGGCAAAATGTAAAAAAAGGTTTAGTGGATGCAGCTACCGAAGTATGTGGTGTTAGTAAGAGAAAGAATGAAAGGAAAAATAATACGTTATGGTGGGATAATGAGATACGTATGGAAGTTGAAGCAAAGAAGAGAGCATTGCTAGATTTACTAGCAACAAAGGCTGCTAATTCTAGTGGTACGAATGGTGATATTGAAAGAAAAAAGGCAGTCTTTAGACATCTAAATAAGAGAGTAAAAGAAGTAGTTGAAAGAAAAAAGCAAGAAAGAACGGATAAGAATGATAGAAAAATATCGGATAACTTCCAGGCAAACATTAAAATGTTCTGGAAACTTGTAAGAACTGCCAGGGGACATTCAAAACAGCCTATGGTGAATGCTATAAGAGACGAGAATGGCTATATTCTGAATGATGAAGTTTTGAGTTTAAAGAGATGGAAGGAATATTTTGAAAGCGTGTTTATGAGTGAGGAGACAACGTGTGTACTAAGTGAATTAGAAACTCCGAAAGAAGAGGAAAGAGGTAGCGAGATAAGTATAGATGAAATAATGAAAGCAATGAAAAGCATGAAAGCAGGTAAGGCTGCCGGATATGATAGAGTTTCACTCGAAATGCTAAGGGCTGGAGAGGAAGTGGTGGCAGGCCTGCTGCACACCTTGTTTAATTTATGCTGGGAACTGAAGCGGGTACCGGTAGACTGGTGCAAAGCCGTGATAGTCCCAGTATATAAAGGAAAAGGGTCGCAGCAGGACTGTAAAAACTACCGTGGCATCGGCCTTCTTAGCATTGTGGGAAAACTGTATGCTAAGGTACTGATTGAAAGGGTCATGAAAGAAACTGATGGAAAAATTTGGGATGTGCAAGCGGGATTTAGAAAGGGAATGGGATGTACAGATCAAGTCTTTTCCATGCGCATGATCGCGGAGAAGTTTCTGGCCAAAAACCAAAAGGTTTTTTGTGCGTTCATGGACTTGGAAAAGGCCTATGACAGAGTGGATAGGGATTTGCTATGGCAAACACTGAACTCATTTGGGTTGAGCGCTGGCTTGATACGGGCATTGGAGTCTCTTTATAGGGACTCTAGTGCTTGTGTTAGGATCAACGGGGTCTACTCGGACTGGTTTGACATCCATAAAGGTGTCAGACAGGGCTGTGTGGCTTCCCCGTGGCTGTTCAACCTATTTATGGACAGTTGTTTGCAAAATTTGAAAGTTGAAGAATGCGTATTAAGAATGGGTGAGTTAACCGTCAAATGCCTTTTGTACGCCGATGATCAAGTTATTCTTGCGACGTCGGCGGCCGAGTTGCAAATGATGGTTACATTAATGAACGGATCATTAAAAGAAAGGGGTATGAAAGTGAACGCAAGTAAGACGAAGGTTATGGTTTTTGAAAGAGAAGAAAGTAAAACGATTTGTGAAATAAGAATAGAAGGGGAGTTGATCGAGCAAGTAGATGAGTTTGTATATTTGGGCTGCGTATTTAGCAGGGATGGGAGATATGATAAGGATATAGAACGACGAGTGAATGCGGGAAATAGAGTAAATGGGGCCTTGCACTCTATTGTGAAGAGTCAAAACGTGTCGAAAAGGCAAGTATGGCAATTCACAATGCTGTGTTGGTCCCTACTTTAACGTATGGTAGTGAAGGGGTGTGGCAGAAGAAGCACGAGAGTAGAATAAACGCAGTAGAAATGCGGTCGTTAAGGAGTATGTTGGGGCTGAATCTGAATGACAGGGTAAGAAATTGTGTAATAAGAGAAGAGTGTGGTTTGCAAGATGATGTTGTGACCAGGATTAAGAAAGGAATGCTTCGGTGGTTTGGTCATGTGGAAAGAATGAATGAGGAAAGAGTGACAAAGAAAATTTATGGTGCAGAAGTGAATGGCAGAGTCGGAAAGGGACGTCCTAGGCGAAAATTTATCGACCAAATTGGCGATTTATTGAAAACGGGCCAAATTAGGAGTACCCTTAACCGACGAGCATGTATGCGTAGGTGTATGGATGTGAAGGAGGCAAGAGAGGTGTGTCAGGATCGTGCCAAATGTAAGTCTGTAGTCCTAATTTCTTTACCCCATTTTCATTTTCTTTCTTTGTTTTGAAATTTGTAAAGACCCGAAAGGCCCCCCCCCTCTCTCTTTTTTTTCCCCCCTTTTCTCTTTTCCCGCCCCCCTCTTTTTACCTCGTGTGGTTTGTATTGTCCATCTATTATCTTGGTATCGTGATATGTGTCCTGTTCATTTCCACTTTAACCTTAAACCGTGCGTAAGTGCATCTGTTATTTTTGTTTTTTGTTTAATTATATTGTTTTTGACTTTATGTATTTTATTTATATTTAAGATGCTCCTTTCCATTGCTCTCTGTGTTGTATATATTTTCTGTCTCACTTCGTTTGTATATGTCCAAGTCTGGCAGCCATATAATAGACTAGGTAAGAGGCAGGTGTCCATTACAATACTCTTTATTTTTATACTGTAATTTCCTTTTAAAATTTCTTTTAGTGACCAAAACTTTCTCCATGCAATGTTTTTTCTTCTTTCTACTTCGTCTTCGTTGTTGGTTTTCATGAAGGATATTTGTTTCCCCAAGTAAATGTAGTTTTCTACGTATTCTATATTGTTTTCTTTTACGTTGATGGGTACGTTGTGACTGTTGGTCATTATCTTAGTCTTGTTTATATTCATTTCCAAACCTACTTTTGAACTTTCTTGGTCTAGTGAGCGTAGCATATCCTTAAGTTGTTTAGCTGTTTCAGAAAATATGACTATGTCATCTGCAAACCTAAGATGATTTAAACGACAGCCATTAATATTAATGCCATATTTTGTCCAATTTAACTTTTTAAATATATTTTCCAACACTGCGATGAAAAGTTTCGGCGACAAAGGATCGCCTTGCCTGACTCCTCTTTCTATTTTTATTTGGACACCTCTCCTTTCAAGTTTAACCCTGCTTGTACTATTTAGGTATATATATATTTCATGATGTTCATGTATTTATCGTTTACATTTGACGTTTTAATGCATTCTAGATGAAACCATGGTTGATACTGTCAAAGGCTTTGCTGTAGTCTATAAAACCGATATAAAGAGATTTATTATATTCATTGAATTTTTCTATTAGTTGTTCTACAGTGTGTATGTGGTCAATTGTGCTGAATCCTGAGCGGAAACCCGCTTGTTCTATTGCCTGAAAAGCGTCAATTTCTTTTGTGATTCGTTTTAATATGATAGATGTAAAGAGCTTGTACATACTTGTCAGTAGACTCCCTCCTTTATAAATTAATATAATGTCAGATGTACACCATTGCTTTGGTACCATTTCTGTGTTTAATATCATATTAAAGAGGTGTGTTAAGTATCCAAGTAAGATGGGGGCACCTAATTTAAGGGCTTCGTTTGTTAACCCATCGGGCCCTGGACTTTTTCATTTTTTAGTGTTTTTATATGCGAGAGTATTTCTTCTTCTTTTATTGGTTTAACTATATTTACTCTAGATTTATTATCAATTTCTTCTTTCAATGTACTTTCGTCTTTCTTCTTTTTGTATAGTTGTTTATAAAATTTGGTGGCGTGGCCTATCACATCTTTTCTTGACTTAGTCTCTTCAGAATTGTTTTCAAGTGTTTGTATCCATTTCTTTTGAAGAGTTAGTTCCTTGAAGGCTCTCTTAGTGCTTCTAAAACTTTTTATATTTTTTGTTATTATCATTTCTCTGTGTTTAAAGTAGTCGAGTTTTATGGATTTATTAGTGAGTTTGAAGAGTTTGGTAAGTTCATTTTTCTTTTCTTTGTTTTTCTTCTTTGTGTTTATTAATTCTGTGCGTTTTTTAATTAGTAGTTTTGTTTGTTCGCTAAGTATTGAATATCGTGTCTTTTGGGTGTCTTTATTATTCTTTAAGCTGGATATTATATTTTCTTCAAGTAAGTCATAGAAGGTTTGAACATTCTCAGGTATGTTAGTTATATTGTCTTCGAGATTGGATTTAAGGCTTTCAGTGTATTTTTTAATTTCTTAATCTGTTGTTGGGTTTTTTATTGAAGTTTGAAATGTTTTTCTTTTTTTCTTTTTTTGTTTGGTATATATGAAACGTTGCTCGTAGTAATCTGTGTTCCGAAGCAAATTTGACTTGGTTTAGAACTTCAATGTTTCTTACCTTGTTAGGTTTATTAGTTAAAATAAAATCGATTTCATTTTTTGATCTTCTGTTTAGGTGACGTCCAGGTCCATCTTCTTTTGGCTTTTTTCTTGAAGAATGTGTTCATAATTGACAAATTGTGTTCGAGAGCAAAATTTATTAGTCTTTCGCCTCTTTCATTACGTTCTCCGTACCCGTAGTTTCCCATACACAAGCATTCTTCTTTCTTGGGCCACCCTATTTTAGGGTTAAAGTCACCCATAATTATTATTATATTGTCTGCTAAAGAGTGTGCTTTTACCATATCGCAGTAAAAATTCTCGATATCTTTTTCTTGCGATGCCTCTGTTGGTGCATATGTCTGGATTATAGATATATTAAATTCCTCGGTTACTAGTTGCAGTAGAGCAACCCTTTCAGAGATCCCTGTAAAATTGGATATCATATGTTTATGTTTTTTCTTTACCAGGAATCCTACTCCATGTAAGCCTTTTGTTTGCCCAATGTAATATAGGATGTACTCTCGATATTCTTCAATGCTGTAACCAGTTTTCTTTACTTCGGATAAACCCAGTATATCGAAATCGATTTTTTCTAGTGCATAAGTAAGTTGTAAGTATCGTTCAATTGATTAAAGGGATCTTACATTAAATGTACCTATTTTTAAAGAGGAGTTTTCAACTTGTTTCTTTTCATATCTAACATTTTTGTGTTTATTACCATTTTTATTACAATCTTTACTATTACTCTTGCAATTCTTCAAAGGGTGGTGGTCTAATTCCCCACGAGGACCAGTCGGCTTGGGGAATTAGACCATAGTTAATACATTTTAATTACTTTATAGATAAAACATTATGCTAGCGATTGCTTGTAAGTTTTAAATAAAGCTACACTGTAACGCAATGTTAAGTCCGATGCCTATTTGTTGCTACAAAAATTATGTCATAAAATAACTGCCCCGTTGGTCTAGTGGTTGTAAACGCAACTATTTATCATGACGTCCCGGGTTTGAATTGCGGGTCAGGCAAAAAATAGTTATTGAGTTTTTCTGTCAGGTAATTCAGTAAGTGCCCGGAGTCAGGAAATTGGCGGTGTTTCACCCCCGTGCCTCGGAAATCTCGTAAAGTTGTGGGTCCTGCGCCTGATCCTTCCGGTCGTGTCGGCTTACTGTCTCATCGGACTATGAGAGTGGGGGAATAGAGACTGCACCTGTGCTTGCGCTATGATCCTGTTTTGCGCAGATTGGCCGCCGTGACCGGAAATTCGGTCTGGAGGGCATTATGTCATAAATTATGTTAAATGTGATGCAATTATGTTCGTTGTTTTGTAGCTTCAAGTAAACGTTTTTCTTTCTTATAATTACTTTGTTCCTGTTGGACGATAAATTAAAGAGTTGTACCATCAACTACATGTTGTTTCCTTGCAGTATCAATGCATTTGTCTGGTCTAATTCGGATTTTGTTGGTTGCAGGGTTCAACAGCCACTAAGTAAGCCATTAAGTGGGTAGATTTCTCATTCGTCACTTTAACACTTATTATAAATCCAAATTACCAAGCATTTAAATCCTATCACCGAGCCTTAGGAATCAAAGAAATCATTACTGAAGCACTGTTTTCTTGAGCAGATCAATCAAAATTTAACCTGTAGCGGGGACACCTCGGCTATCGGCTAATGTCTTCATCCCCAACCACACAAGTCGCATCTAGCCTCTAATTAAGATCTATGTCCAGAAGCAGGCAATCTTGAACGGTAATTAGAGCCATATAATGAACAGCACCCGTCAAAGATTACGATCGTCTAGAAAATTGAGATTAATGAGATGTGAGTATCGGCGGAAACATAATAATAACATTATGTAATTAAAGACGTCAACTTCACTCGAATTGACATCACTGCAATAAAATTCTGCCAAATACATTTTATTTTGCGCTGACAAACTAGAGTAAAAAGTTTGAAGGTTAAAATAGTAATTTAGAGTTAGGTTAAAAAAGTTTACTGAAAAGAGAAAAGTTAAATTTTATTATAGTTTATATCATATACAAATATTTATGTATATATGTTACGCGATATTATCGTCGCTAAATGTGGACCGAGTTTAATGATTTTTTTAAAAATTTTGACGTTTTCGTGGCGCAGTGGCTTAGCAATGAGTTCGGCGCTGAGGACTTCGGAATCGAATCCTGTACGGATCAAGTATTTGTGAGGCCTAAAACTAATTGTTCCGAGTCTTGATGTTTGTTCTTGTGTAATTTATCTGTGTAAATTGTCTCCACAATACAAAAGAAAATCCTAATATAAAAATAGTCTTTTTTAATAAAAAATTTACTTAGCAACTATAAATTCGGCACTCAAGTAGCAATTAAAATGTCATGTCATGTGCTTATTTCTCTTTTCTTTTCGTTTCTTTTGTTAGGAAAAATGAGCAAAAAGCGAGGTGAAACAGGCATTAAAATATGGTGGTTCCATTTAGATTGGTAGAAAAGAATAAGGGCGGAAAATATAGCAAATGATATTTTTGATGTAACTGTTTAGATGACATACTAATTATTACCTTAAGGTTATTACCTATATATTACTTATTCTACTCGAACAGTTCAAATAATTAAAATAATGTATCGAAGAAATAAAGCCGCGATTTAATGTTATTATATATAATTATATTTACGCTAATACTACGCATGGAATAAAACTTATTCTGCTGAGATCGGAGAAAAAATTAATATTTTTACAGTTGAAGGTTCAGGATGACTAAAATGACCAGAAACGTGAGAAATTAAAGAGGTAATTTTACGTGATAGAGCCACGCTACAGCTATAGTTATAGTTGTAACACGAATGGAACGGCTCGACCGGGGCAGGACAACGCTCTCACAGACTACCAGCGTAATGTTTTGTGTCGTATGGTGAGTGTAGAAAACCGGTGACCCTTTTGACTGGAATCGAGGCATTCCATCTTAGTCCTCAGGGATGTCTATGGGCCACAGCATTCACTTACCATCAGGTGGACTGTGTGCTCGTTTGTCACCCAATCTTGTAAAAAAAGACTAAATTAAACGCGATAAAATCCGTAAAATTAGTTTGATTACATATGCCGTCTTATTATAAAACATAGTTAATTCACTGTAACAGATTAAAACTATGGTTTAAAAAGAGGAAAGGAGTTCCTTAGTCGCGGTACCACAGTCTTTAGAAATTTGACATATGCTGTCAAATACCATATTTTACATTTTAGATCGCATAACCACCACGGGACTTCTTTTTTGATACTAATGTCACATTTTCAGCACTGGACTTTAAATGGACTGTAATAAATAAATAGTTTAGGACCTGTGGAGACTAGTTCTGTATAGAACAGGATATAGTGCCTATATAGGATATAGTGGATATAGGCGCAAGCACAAATGCAATCCCTGTTCCCTTAGTTCATAGTCCGATGCTGCGCAAGACCAACAGCGTTACGTGTTTTCCGAGGCATGGGGATGAAACACCACCATCTTCCTGACTCCGGGCAGCTACTAAGAATTTCTTGAGAGAAAATCCCAGTAACTGATTTAACTGACCAGGACAAGCAGGCCACTATACAATATACAAGTATTGACAGTGAAGGAAGAGCCACGCTGCAGCATTGTTGCAGTACACTAATGGGTCGGCTCGACTGAAACCGATCCACGCTCTCAACGATCACAAGCGCAAAGTACGAGTAGCAAGACCATGCTACAGATGCTACTGTATTCCGTATAAGTGCTCCAGTAACTAAGAGTTGAATTCATTTATTTTCATCTTTTTCTATTAGCTTTAGCGAGAGCTAACGCCGCTGGAGATAGATGTACCTATAATAGAATTAATCTGGTGGGAATATTATTCCTTGTTGCCTTTACTTATTTTTTATTATAATATTCTCGCTCTTCATATAAAAAAGCGTTCAAGTACGAGTCGGACTTGCGCATGAAAGGTTCCGTACCATTGGACAAAATTTAATACGTCTCCTTTATGTGGACCTTTTTAATTTTCAAATTATAATTTTGAATATTTTAGCGAATATAGCAATACAAACTCTGTGAGCATTTTAGCACCTACTTGATGCCATTATTAACATCGAGCAAAAAAAGCGGAAAAAAAACACAAACCCCTTAAAATTTTTAATTTATTTTTATTGTACTATTGTGTTGTTATAGCGACAACAGCAATACATATTCTGTGAACATTTCAACTGTCTATCTATTACGGATCATGAGATACAGCCCGCTGACAGACAGCGCACGGACAACGGAAGTTTTGTAATAGGGTCCCGTGGGTTACCCTTTCGGTACGGAACCTTAAAAACTCTCACTCTCAGACCCATTTCACTTAATGATGAGCGCATACTACACATGAAAAATTAATTGACGAAGACTTGAAATGTACTATTATTTCCCATTTTAATGAACGTGACTTTATGAGACACATCCATCGCATGTGGTCCTGCAATTAGAGAAGACACAGAGTAATTTTAATAAAAATTGTGTACATGGCGCCGTCAGTAAGATAGAGAACGTTCATCAACTGAATCAGTTCGGGAATAGAACTGTAATCT